AAGCTGCGGTCGTGGTCCTCGTTCCGGGAGCGCCGGGAGCCCGGGTGACCGCCTAGGTCAGTTTCCGAGGCCGCTACCCGTGCGGGCGGGCTCCGCTCCGCCCGGTGCTCGGGGGAGGTCCGCGGGCGCCCGGCGGGGGGTGCGTGCGGGCCTCCGGCTCGTCTCTGAGGATGGTCAGGGTCGTGGCGCGGCGATGCTGGGCTGCGAGGCTGCGAGGCAGCTCGGCTTCCTGGCGGCCTCCGGCTGCTTCAGCACCGCGAGGAAGTTAGTTGTTACAAGTAGCAAGATGTTGGCGTTTGTTTGCGCTTCCACTCGCGGTGCTAGGACCTCGTGCTGGTGCCACACGTGTTACCTACCGAGTCATCAGCTGCGTGCGCCCTCGGTCCTGGGATGTGTGCATCGTAGTTTTTAGTTTCCCATTAACGAGAGGATTGACTCACAGTGGAAGTCACGAGCTGTTCATGTGACCATCCTCTCAGTGCGCAGCGTGGTTAATGGGACAAACACGAAAGACTCACAGGGATTAGGAAACAATATGAAAGATTGCAGCTGTACAGTAGAAAGGAGGCATATACCCGGTGGCCCTGTTGATTGGCAGAGTTGTCCTGATTTTGTTAAAATCAGTTTTTAGTTGCCAACACCGTCGCTTTCTGCAGACTGTATTGTGAAGTTTAACTGTTGGTGTTGTGATACTAAGTTAACTTAATCAAGGCTGCTTGAATGTTGCATATTTAGCTATAAGGCCTTTGTGAATAGTTGGTAATATAATTAAAACAGCTTTGAAATCAGTGGTGGGTTTTCCCCGAAAACTTCAGCCTTAGTATTGTAGTTGGTGCATTCTGGATATAGAGTTCAGAATATCCTCACCTCTTCAGCCAGCATTTGGGAAATTCTTTGTTGATTTGTTTGGAGGCCCAGCAATGTGTGCGTTCTAATCATGATACAATACAATTTTTGCAGCCATTGTGGTAGGTATAATTTCTTAATCCTCCAGCCGAAAATTTAAAGATCTCAGTATTAATTACAGAATAGTTACAAAATCCACCTTCTTTTCATCTCCCAGTTCTACCCTATGGACTCGATCTACAATTTATGGGGAAAATGAGAGACAGCTGTCAGTAATATTCCTTTTTGAAAGTTAGCTATCGTGTTTGTCTTTTCTCCCAGGCAGAGCAACTCTCCCACAACATTGAGCAACTGACGTTAAAAATAGGCGTTAACCGCTGCAAGTTGAGTTGCTTTATCTGAAGCAGTAGTTGTATCCCACTCAGTATATGGTTTGCCAAGATCAGATGACACTTAAGTCTCATTGTTCATCAGCAGAAATTGGTGGTGGTGGCTAATCCTTGACTCTGGAGGCAGCTGTCTTGTAGGTATTATTCCAGTAGTATTTACACCTGTAATTCAGAGTAGGTAGATGTTAATTCTGTAAAAATATTGCTCCCCACTCTCCCCCTAAAACAAAGGGAAATAACCAGTTTAAAGCCAACAATAAAGAATACAGCCAGCTTCTTTTGAGCGATAACATGGTGCAGTGTCTATTAAATAAATTTAAAAGTTTCTTCTTGTGTCTTTATTTTATTTAGAAATATATCTATAGTAGATTTTTTTGTTGTTGTTAAACCTCACCTGAGGATATTTTTTCCATTGCTTTTCAGAGAGACTAGAAAGGAGGAGGGGGTGGGGAGAGAGAGGGAGAGAATCCTCAATGTGAGAGAGACACATGAACTGGTTGCCTCCTGCACAAGCCTGAAGCGGAGGCAGGGAATAAACCTGAACCCAAGCTACGTGCTCTTGACTCGAAATCGAACCCGTGACCCTTAGGTGTGCAGGCTGATGCTCTAACCATTGAGCACACTGGCCAGGGCTATAGTAGATTTTTAATTTGGAACTCTTGTGGCAATTTCTTACCTCGTGACATTAATAGAAGGTGAGTTTTGTATATTATATGTATTCACTGAGAAGTGGTCAGTAGAAAGTAGAAATCAGCTTAACTAATAACACCTGGAGGAGATAGGCTGCGGTAGCAAGTGCATGTGAGAAACTTGAAATGGTTGGGAACCTTGTCAGTTTTTTCAAGCCTGATGGTAATAAGAACTTGATTGATGACTAGTAAATTCTTTCCAGTTCTAGGAAGAGGCCAGCGGTTAGCAGTGTAGACACCAGCTTATATCAGCTCACCAGAATTCATTAATGAGGTGTCAAAGATACTCTTATGCATTCTATTCTGTACATTATATGTTGATGATCATAATGCCATAAATTATAGGATGTTCTTGATTCCTAGAAATGTTGGATTTTTCCTTACTTACCTGACCTCACCCACTAATAAAGTGGGAAAGTATAAGAAATAGTTTTAATACTTTCAGTAAGAGATTATACTAGGCCACTTACTGTATCTGAGTTCTTGGATTTGTCAGCTGACAAATAGGAAATTACCATATAGTGAAAGCACTCCTTAACTACATTTTCCTATCACAGGACAGTGGAAAGTAACCACATGTTTTTACTTTGTTGTTTAAAGTTTTCCTTTAAAGAGAAACTTCTGGATATAGGATGTATAACTGGTCAGTATTCTACATTAGTTCGGAAGACAATTTTAAATGTGAAATCAAAATGGGAAACATTTGAATACATTTTGTCTAAAACTTAAGGAATGTTATCATTAAAAGGTAACATTCAACTTTCTTGTTAGTATTTTTAGTATCTAAAACTGGATTTATCTAATTTGTGGACTTCTCCGCCCTTTGCTTTTACGGATCCAACCTGTTTTGAAATGGTAGCTAATAGCTTTCAGAATTCAGGTTGAAATTCAAATCAGGAGTGCATCTAAGGGTTAGTTCTTGGTTGTTGAAGCTGATAAAACATATAGCAACTTAAGGTTGAAAGTTTCATAAAGCAAAGCCATGAAGCTTACTTAATTTTCACCAATTTTGATAAACATTAAAATTTTCAACTGAAAAAAGGTAAAAGATAAATATCCAGCAAGTAGGATTGTTTTTTTTATTACATCTGTGGCATCCAAGTCAGTGTGGGTACATACTGAATATGAATAAGAGAAGGTAATGTGAATGTCAAATATAAACATTTTACATTGACTTCAATGGTCTACAAACTGTAGCATGGAAGATTATAATTAGAGTCAGTTGGAGATGATGCTCTTTATCTGGGCAGAAAGTCTCATGGAGGAAGCTAGAGTATAAGTTTTACTGAATTAAAAATGAAATGATTTTTAATTTACTTTTTTTATTTTTAAAAGAAAGAATGAGTGTTTCCTAAAATAGACTTTATAATTTGCTGTGGTTTTCCTTAAATTGCCATGTTTTGGATATCTCATTTTAGTTGGTAAATAAAGCTTTTTAAAATGACATTAAGTCATAATTCAGAGTCAATTTCCTCAATGCTCACACATGAACAATTGGAACAATTGTTAGGGTCAGTGACATTTCATTTTAGAGGCTGATTTGAATTTTATGAAATATATAGCATCGCTATTATTTCACCCCCTGATTAAGAGTTCTAGATTTTGGTTGTGGCTTTATTGGCATACAATACTCAACAAGTAACTTTACCTTTGTACTTCTCAGGTTATTTTAACCTCTAAAATCAATATTAAATATGAATCCGTCTACTAATGTAGAATTTCTAAAACAAAAATGCAGTAAGTTGTTTGTGTTATCACAAATGTCATAGTGTTATATGTGTGTGTGTGTACACATAGGTATACACACACACACACACCCCTGTTAGAGAACTTAACGATTGTTTGCTAGGAGCCAATATGATTGAAAGCAAAATTTATTTTCTTGCTGTTTTTACATAGTTACTTTAATTCTTAATATTTTCCTCATATTAACAGAATATAATAATGGGGGAAAAACCCACACCATTGAGCAGCTAGCTGCTTTGGAATGTAGTGCTAAGCATATTATAGATTTAAAAAAATGTTTTAAAGATTTAACTTGTAAAATATATGTATTTGTTTATAAACGCATTTAATTTTAGTCACTATTCAAATTCCCAGTATACACTGTGTTTCAAACGTTATTTGAATGTAACACCAAGCATAAAATCAGTTTCTGAGAATTTAAAAAATAATCACAACATATTGTTGTAAGTTTTTGAATAATTAGGCTCCCTCCCTTTGGCTTTGTTAATAGTACAAAGCTATTTGGCAGTTGTAAGCCATATTTCTGATGCTTCCTGACATTTTCTTATTTTGGTAAAATACACATGACATCAAATTACCTTTTCAACCGTTTTTAAGTGCACTATTCAGTGGCATTAAGCACATTAACGCTGTGCAACCGTCACCGCCACCCACCTCTAGAACTTTTTCATCATCCTAAACTGAAGCTCTGTCCCCATTAAACACTAACTCCCATTCCTGCCTCCTCCAGCTTTTCTAGTAACCATCATTCTGTAATATGAATTTTTCTACTCTTGATACCTCATATAAGTGGAATAATATATCTGTCTTTTTGTTTATGGCTTATTTCACTTAGCAAAATGTGTACGAGGTTCATCCATGTTGTAGCATATATCAGAATTTCATTCCTTTTCATGGCTGAATAATATTCCACTGTATGTATATAACACATGTTGTTTTTCTATTCATCTGTCACTGGACACTTAGGTTCCTTCCACCTCTTGGCTGTTGTGAACAGTGCTGCTGTGTGCATAGGTGTGCAAGTATCAGTTTGAGTCCCTGCTTTCAATTCTTTGGATATATACCTATGAGTGGAATTGTGGGTCATATGGTAATTCTAGGTTTAATTTTGAGGAACTGCTACACTTTCCTGATGCTTCATGAAGTCCGGTTAAATGTTACATGTATGATTGAATAAAGTTAGCCTGGATTTTCTTGAATTTTAACTTTTTGAATACCTTTAATAACTCAAAAGACTTGGGTGAAATATGGTACTTGGGTGAAATACCCCTGATTGTTGAACTTTATTATCGATTTCTCTAGGAATTTTCTACTTTGTATCTGTAGAAATTAAATTTGAATAGTAAAGAAAAGTGGCAGAGTAAATGATAAAATAATAGACCTCTG